CATGTGCCACCCTGCCCAGCTAACTCTGAAACTCTCAATAACCCGTGCTCTGTAAATGTGTCCAGGGACTGCAACGGTGGCCCACAATAACTGCTAGCAGCAGGGGCCTATATAATCCATGAGAACTGTACTCGTAACAAAGTCAGAATGAGAAACACTATGCCTGTGACAACACGTGCTGTTACCCTGTAAGAAGTACTTGGAGCAATCAGCTGGCTGGCTTCTCTGATGTCTTTAGCAGCATAGGTGGTTGTCTAGCTGGGTGGTTAGGGACACAGGTTCTAGGTTTGAGCTGCCTGGCTTTGAGCCTCGCTATTGTCACTGTAGTGACTTAGCAGCTCTGTGTCCCTGTGTAAATTAGCACATCTCACTAAGCCTCTCAACTCATCTATCAATCATTCCTGCCTGTCTGGTTTGTTTTGAGGGGTGGATGGAACAGGGTTTGTGAGCAGCTGACACACTCTGGACACCCAGTAAATCTAAATGCTGTAACGCTTCTCATTTACAACCTAGTTTTCCTGGCTTTCACATTCCCATTTAATCTCATTATAGAGTAATGGACTCAGATGAAAGTTTCAGTTGAACCAAACCCACAAGATGCCAAAGGGGGGAAAAAACCCAAAGAACTTAGAACAAGAAGTAGTTTTCTTGTGCTTATACGTGTATTTGCTATACAAGGCATCCCTTCCCCAAAGCAAAATTAAAAACAAAACAAAATGAAACAAACAGAAACTCCTGAGCGGCTGTTTGGGCTGAGTTTTTAGACTAATTCTCACGGAACCACCTTGACCGGGATCAGATCCCACCCCTCACCCTGCCCTGGCCACCAGATCTTTCACACTAGCACTAAGCAGGGATAGCGGCCACCTTGCTCCCCATTTCCTGACCACCCAGCAGCTGCTCCTGCTGGGTGGAGCTCCATAAGTACTCATTAAATAAATGAATTTCCCGGGCAGAGCCCCCTTTAAGGTCGTCAAATCCTGTTCCTTTCGCCTCCCTTTCTAGATGCCAGGGAGGACACTGCCCACTGGGTCCAACCAAGCCTTTCTTATGTTTGCTGTGTCTGATTCTCCTGGATGGAGACTGTTGAACTGTGGGAAGTGCCCTGTCCTCACCACTGCTGCTTACAAATCCAGGTTCCCCTTCCCTGTTCTGTCACTTACACGCCACACATGGGCGTGCTCCTGCAAGCTGCCAGCCTGAAGATGGCCCTGTGTGCCCCAACATGCCCCAGGGGGGTTCTCTCTCTTCTGCCAGGGCATTTGGTAGCTCTGCTTCTCTGGCCAGAGCTCAGGAGTACATCTTCCTTTGGTGGAAAAGGAATTCCCTTTTCAATAGGTTTCTGTTTCTTTCACACTGCACTGGACTTTGCACTGTCTTAACGGGTTCATTTTCTGCTTCTTTACCAGTAAGTGGATGAGTTGGCCACGCTCATAAGACTTCACCTTGACTCACTCATTGAGACTAACACAAAGGTAAGCCCAGCTCCCTCTTCCTGTTGAAGCTCAAAAAAGCTGGTTGGTCATGCGGCGGCGGGCTGAGGACAGGCTGAGGGATGGGTGCCCGAGTTAGAAAAGTGGAGAGGAAACAGCTGCTCGAGTTCCTGCTGGGGGTGCACTGGGCGGAACCACAGTTGTTCCTGAACTGGATTTAATTTGCATCCCTTGGATTACATCCCTAATCAGTCCCCACCCCATCCCCGCCCCTGGCAATTTCAAGAAATCAGTAGGAAAAGAATTGAAAACCCCACAGAGAGCTTGCACCCTTGCTGAAAACATACAAAAGACAAATCTCTTACTGCACTTTTGGCCTCAGAAATCCCACAGAAGACTGCTTGAGGCTCCAGGGTGTGGGGAGGGCAAGGCATCCCTGCAGAGAGCCACAGGGCAAAGCCTGAGAGTTCCACCAGGGTGACCTGGCATCTGAGTGTTCTCTGCCTCCCCCAGAATACCTCACCTCCCCCGGAATACCTCTGCAAGTTACAACCTGGTATGCCAGCTCTCAGAAGCCAGAAATATGACAAATATTGCAATAAGCCACTGGAATTTAGGGTACAGGTTCATTGTCACGTTGGTGAGGACTGCAGAGTGCCCTTAAAGCCAGGTGTGTCTCTCTTCAAAGTGTGAGTGGTTCACGTCCCACATGGAGGGACATACTAGGAACTGGGAAACACCCGAAACCTGTTTATGAAAGGAATTAATGAATTCTGTTTTAATGTGCCGTGACAATTTCAGTCTTAGAAAAATCCTATGCTCAGTACCTACATTAAAGGAGATTAGACATCTTTAGGAAATTTTGGTTTCCCTGCTTTTAAGAGGTTTATGGTCAGGCTGGCCTTTAGTTTCAAGTTCAATCTTTTTTTCCTTCATGGCAGAAGAGCATAGTCTCGGGGCCTGAGGTTTGGAGTCAGACCCATTTTTGAATCCCACTCTGAGATAATAGTGTATAATTTACGAACGTTGTGAGAATTAAATGAAATAGTGGGTGACATTCCCTGTGCATGGTGGGGGACGGGAATGAAAGGGAGGTAATGCTCTTCTTGCATGGCAGGGCCACCAGCAGGCCTGTCTAGGCTTGGGGTCTTTAAAATTCCCTGGTACAGCCCATCGCATGCTGCTCACTTCACAGAATGGGGGGGGGGGGAGGCACAGTTCAGTTCTATTTGACCACATCTAGTCTCAGTAGTCCCCTGCTTGGTCACCTTTAAAACAAGTTTATTTTTATTATTACATGTTTGCAATACACAGCAACCACATTCCTCACGGGGAGTTGGTTGGCACACATACATAACATGTTCTTCTTATCTCCTTTTCCCCTCCTCTCTTTCTTCCTTCCCTCTATCTCTGGATCCCCTTCTCATTTGCATTTTCAAAATGTGCCTCTCTATATTGAAAGCTATGTAAGGGATAGGCCTCTCTCCTGAGGCCTCTAGCAGACCTGACCTCTGTTAAATGCCTTAACTGCAACAAAAGCTCTTAGTAACTCATGAAGATCACAGGGCCTCTGAAACTGGCAAGAATTTCAGGGAAATCACAGGGAAATTTGTTCATTGCATGATTAATCCTTGGGTGGACTGATCCGGGAAAAGCATGCATGGTTTGCAGAAGAGCGGCAGCTTGCAGAATTTTGCAAAATAAACTGGCAGGCAGGCCTTCCAGTATGAAAGTTCAGAGCAGGGGTGTGGTCCGACAGTTGAAGAAAATGCCAGATGTGTGGAGGACAGTCCTCCTCTGAATCCACTGACACCCAAAGGCAGGACACCAGGGACCAGATTATAAAACCCAGCCAGATTATAGCACTAGACGCAAACTCAGTAGGGTGCTGGATCTTAAGAGAAGGATAATAAAATTCATCACCATAATTGCCCCCCAGCCTGGCTCCCTGGCAGAAGCCAACAAAAGCTCAGCTCAATGAAGTTATTCATCCATATTCAAATTGCCTGGCTCATTATTCTCAGACAAAAACCCCACTGGGTCCCAGCTCTGGGCCAGCAGCAGCCCCCAGCTCAGCCTGCAGGCCCCCCCAGGCTGGCTGCCCTGGGCAGCCTTCTTTCTGTAGCAACACAGCTCCAATCCAGATTCCACACTTCCTTTTCCAGTAACTTGGACTTTCAGGACTGAGTGTAAAATAATTACAGCAAAAGCCTGCCCCGGGGAAGACAGGACACCGCCCAGCAGCTGTGATGTGGCTCAGGTAGGGGCCTCCTCCACCTCACAGTGGTGAGCACAAAACGTGCAGTCTCGCCAAAACAAAACGGAAATGGAATTGAAACACAGAACTTACAGAGAAGTTGCGAAATAGGACTGCCTGCTGTGAATAGCCTGAGGTCTCTGTCCAGGAGGCTCAGTCAGACTTTGAGGAACACCCATATACTAACCCTAAGGCTAAGGGTTCTTACCTGCAAGGAATTATCAAAGCCTAGGTTAGCTTCACCCCACCAGCAAACTCTAAGCCTGAGTCCTCCTGGCTTGGGTTTATTTGGACCCTCAAGTCTTTACCTCACAGGCCAAAGTTCAGCGACCTCCAGGTCCCAGGCTACCACTAGCTGGTTTGCAATCTGGTCAACCAGTACTTAATGAGCAACTACTACTATCAGGCATTAGTACAGTTCAACAGTCAAGGCTAGAGGTACCTGGGCCTCTAGAGCTTATATTCCTCTGGAAACAGATATAAATACTGCACCAAAAGAAATAAAATATTCATAAATGTTCATGGAGACCACCCACCACGACTGGGCAGACAGAGGCAAGAGATGAGAGAGAAAGCAGAGTTCCCAGGGGAAAGGAAGGTGTGGCTGGCGGCCTCATCACCAGAGGGAATCAGCCAGAATTCTGAGGAGTAGCCCACATGAATCCAGTCACTGATGCTGGCCAAGTTCAACGCAGGGCTGTCGACCCACAGAAGCTAAGTGTTCTTAAAGGATCCTCCAGGCCTGGGGTGGAGCTCAGGGCTGGGCGCTCGCCGAGCTCGCTGGAGGCTCTGGGTACCATGGCAAGCGCTTGAACACTTCGAGGGAAGGAGGGAAGACAGACAGACAGACAGAAACGGACACACAATTCTCCACGCGCAAAACCAAAGCCTTCCCACACTCTGTCCTCCTTCCGCCTGTCCCGAGTAGCGCGCTAAGCGTGTCCCAGCTGGCACACGAGGGCGATCCAAGCCTCCAGATCAGGGAACCGGCCCCTGCCCCGCCGGCCTGACGTCCCTCAGGATCTCGGTTGTCCTCCCCGCCGTCTCCCACCACCTGCCAGGGAGGCCCCTCTGCTCCTCGCCCTCCAGGGCCCTCCTGCAGCACACACGCTGCCGCCACCTCGGAACCCCGCGCCGGCTGAGCCGCAGGCTCTTCCCCCTCCTCCGCGGGCGCGCGCCCCTCCCAGCTCCCCGGCGCTCTCCCGGGCAACTTCAGACGCCGACCGGGCGGTCCTGCAAGTCTCGGCTCGCTGGCTCGCGGGTCCCCCTTCCAGCAACCGCAGGCGCCAGTCGCCAGCGCGGGCGCTTACCTGGCTGTGCCGGGACCCAGAGCGACGCGCTGCCCAAGATCCAGAGCAGCACCGGAGTCGCCCACATCTTTCCGGCCGGCTGGTTCTCCGGGAGGCCAGCAGCTCCGGCTCGGGACAGGGTGGGCGCAGGGGAGAAGATCGGCGACCGCAGGCCCGGCCCGGGGACACGCGTCGGGGGTGTAGGGGGGGGGGAGTCAGCGCGCAGCAGAGGCGCCCAGCTGCACGGCCCAGAGCGCGCGCGGAGCAAACTCTGCGGCGGCCACCAGGAACGAACCCTGCATTTATCCCGGCGACGCGACGGGGCGGGGAGCGGTGGGCGTGAGGTGGTCTCGGCCCCCCGCCCCCCGGCCGCTGGGCCCGCCCCCGGCTCTGTTTGGCTGGCGCCAAAGCGATGATCTCAGGCCAGGTTTAAAGTTACAGGGCTGCAGACGCGCGCCTCACAGCGCTGGCCAAAGTGGGCTTTGTGTTAACCCGAGGCGGCGGGGGCCGCTGGCAGCAGGCGATGTTGCTTTAAAATTTCTGTTTATCTATGTTTTTATTCCACTTCACGTTCGCTTTTTCAGAGGAAAGCATAGCCTACATTTTCTTGTTTGGGACAGAAATGAAAAGTTAATTGTTCCTGGTGTGGTCACTACTGAATTGTGCTTTTGTAAATATTGAATTTGACGGCTTAAGGAAAAAAAAGGTTAGCTGTCATTTAGGAGTGGACGGACTGCTGGGTTGGTCTGTTGCACCCTTGTCCAGGGGACTGGGGCTGCAGGCTCAGGGGTCTCCCCAAATCTAGCTGGCAGGGAGTACCCCACTTGGTGGCTTTGGCAGCGTTGGAGGAAGGATGAGCTCCGTGTACCCCACCCGATCAGGGGATAAAGTTGGGGAACTGCCTCTAGGTGAGCAGAGGGATCAGGCCGGGCTGGGGGTCATTCCCGGTATCTGGTCACTCACCTTGCCTTCTCTCATCCCTCCTAAATCTGGGAGTCTGACCTCATAGCTCCTACTTTATTGATCTAAGCAGTCTTTGCTGATCTCTGAAACTGGAGATCAGCAAAACAAGAGAATTCTTTTTTTTCTTTTTTTACTTTTTTTCCTTCTAAACTTTTTGAATTAAGAGACAATTTTGGGATGCATGTGAGAACAAGATTTTGAGAAACAGTCTCTGCTCCATTTCCAAAGGACACAAATTCCACTCAACAAAAGCACCTGTGGATTAGCCCTCATGGCCATACTGGCCTTCAGAACTTTTTTTTCTGAGACAGGATCCATCTGTGTAGCTAAGGCTGGCCTCACACTTGAGGTGTTCCTCCTGCCTCAGCCTCCTGAGTGATGAGATTACAGGGATTCACCACCATGTCGGCCTCAGAAATTCAACTTTGAATTGAAATTTCCTCTGTCACAAGACTCCAAAAGGGACAGACCCTGGAAAACCAGAGGGAAGGAGTCCCCTTCCTGGATAGGAGAGCGTAGGTGGGAAAGGGATGCTGGCCTTGGGTCCAGGAGGGACAAGAGCTGGTGGTCAGGCCAACATTGTGACATGGAATGTGGGGATCTGAAGCCAGAGATGGGCATGGGGGGGGGTGTGTGTGCAGGAAGATTCCTCTCCATTCTTGAGTAACAGAGTGCAGTGTCCGAAGAACAGTGAGGCAGAGGCTGAGTGATGTCACTGCCACAGCGGCTTGTTGACTCTGTCTAGCTCCTGGGACGTGCCCTATCTCACTTAATGCTCAAACTGATCTCTGGTTTGGAACAAAGCTCTCAAGGAGACTGTTGTACCGCTGACTCAGAGCTCCCCTGGTGCAGGCAGATTGCTCCACCCCATTCCCCAAATTTCTCATTAGATCTGCAATGGGGCCTGAGAATCTGCATTCACCAGGATGATGATGATGATGATGATGATAACAACAACATTGATTATCTTTGGACCCCACTTTGAGAATCACTCTTCAGAGGATACCACGAGACTTGTCCTACAGCAAATCAGTGGTAAAACTGTGTGTCCGTGTCCTGGTGATCAGCCTGGGGCTTGCTTGCCAATATGGTGCTATGCATAGGGATTTGGCAGGAGAGCTCTGTGCATTGCTTTCAGGGAGCAGGGGCCACCCAAGGGGGACCAGGCTGTGGAATGAGGAGCTGAACCAGAGCATCCCTTGGGGACCCTGCACCTTGGAGGGACCGAAGATGGTGTTGTGGTCCTCATATTCCCTGAGTTATTTGAGCTCTACTCAGTCCAGAGGGTACTTGATAAAAATGACCATAAGAGAATTAGATAAAAGTTTATGTTAAACTTTAAGGCATGCAGTTTTGTTGCACTGGCGATTAAAGCTAGGGCCTTTGCATTCAGCTACTCTCTCAGCACTTACTTACTTACTTACTCTTTCTCAAAACAAGGTCTTGCTAAGGTGCCCAGGCTGGATTTAAGCTTTTGACATTCTTGCCTCAGCCTCCTGGAGTATTGTGATGTAGGCACCTGCCACCATGCCCAGATAATCCATGCATCCTGGCATTTTTGATAGAATACCTGAAATTGTTCTAGTTATACTTCAGAGAATCAATATCCCTAACAAATATTCTGTCTGAAAAGTATGTGTGATTATTAATTCTTCATTATAAAAGGTGGGTGTTTATTAAGGAAGGTATACAAAAAACAGAATAATTGAAAATATACCTAGAATCCCTCGTGTGTTTATGTGGAACTTTCATTTTGTTTTGTTTTTCGTTTTGTGGTGCTGGAGGTTGAATCCAAGACCTGGTGCGTGCTGGGCAAGTGCTGTGTCTCTGAATACATCCTAGCCCTTCAAAGTTCTCTTTTGATATAATATCAAGTTTACCATTTAACTGCCATGTACCAGGCCCTGGGTTCCATCGCCAGCATCACAGAAGAACAAAAGGGTTGAGAAAAAGGAGGAGGGAAAGGAGAAAGAGAAGGAGGAAGAGGAGAAAATAAAGAAGGAGAAAGTTGGAAGAATAATTCAAGAACTCGCAATGTGTTATATTTTTCCTTATTTGCCCCATCAGTCTCACTGTATTTATGACCACTGTGCATGCTGGCTTCTTTCTGAATCACTGGGACAGTCTCGGAGACATTACACCCTCCATCCGAAATACTTGGATGTGAATTTCCTGAGATCAGCTATTCTTTTTCAAACTACAACAGGATAATCAAAGTCAACAAATTCAATACTAAAAGGTGACCAATGCTAAGGGTGTAGGTCAGGGTCAAAGCCCTTGCCTAACACCCAGGAGGCCCTGGTTTTCATCCCCATGACAAACAAAGAACATTGCTATAGGGCAAGCCAGGCATATGATGCACAATTCCTGCTATTGGAGGAGGAGCACCTCATGATCTCTGGAGCCAAGGAATGTGAGATTTTTAAACCAGTCTCAGCTATACATAAGCCCCCTCCATACACATAAATATAAAATGCTTAATATGTAATAGGTGTGATAATGTATAATAGCTATTGTATATCCAGGCATGGTGGCACATCCCTGTCATTCCAGCTACCCAGGAGACTGGGGTAGGAGTACATGTTCAAGGATAACTTGGGCATCTTAGTGACACCCTGTCTCAAAAAAATATTTTTCAAAGTGCTTTGGATATAGCTCAGTGGTACAGTGTTTATCTAGCATGCAGGAGGATCGTGGTTTGACTCCAGAATTCAAAACATACAGAAATATTTTAATTAATAAATTTTTAAAAAATCACTATTATCTAGTCTCTGGTCCACATTCAAATGTCAATGATGGCTATGGTAATGTCCTCACAGTTACTTTTCCAGGATCTAATCAAGGACTGCCCATAGCATCCTGCTAGGATGCTATGTCTCCAGAAGATGCAGGACACAGGTGCCCTTCTTTGTCTTTTGGGAGCTCGATGCTTTCGGAAAGGTACAGCCCTATTAGCTGAAGAATGCTCTTCAGTTGACTTTGTCTGGTGTCTCCCTCAGTTCAGATTGAGGGTGCACTACTTGTTGTTTGACACAGGAGTGGGGTTGTTCCAGTCCCCGATCCCAGAAAGTGTCACCTTGAGCTGTTGGTGAGAATTCCTAGCACATCTACACTGGCCAGTCTCTGCCCTTAACAGTGTCCTCATGTTGGAGAGACGGCTTCACGCACTGACACTTTGAGACCACAGGCTTTTGCTTTTCTTTTTTGTGGTGCTAAAGATTGAACCCAGGGCCTTGTGTTTGCTAGGTAAACACCACCACTGAGCTACACCCCAGCCCCAAAAGAACTTGTTTTCACCTCAAAAAATGCTCCATAACAGGGCTTGTAGTAATGCCCTTTCAGCCACTTAAGTGGGGCTGAAGAAGGCTCTCTGTGGAAGGGTCACTGTGGAAGGGTGGCATCAGACGAAACCCTGGAGCACTGAGACTTGGAAATGGATTCTCATGAACCCATCTTGCTGGCAGCGTCCTGGGGAAATAGGGGTGCATCTGTCATTTGAAGATCCCTGCCCTGTCCTGAGTTGGGCCAGATTTCCTCCTAGCATAAGCTCCGCCACACCCCACCCTCTAGTGTTAAAGGATAAGGCTCAGGGTGTCCCCAGGTGTGGTGTCTCCCTGCCGCTCTGAGGAGATAGGGAGCTGCCCAAAGTCAGGGCTTTAGCTCGTTCATACATTCACATATTTCATTCTATAATAGATAGGAAGTCAATGTCAGCCTCTGAGCTGCTGCGTAGATATTTGTACGACGAAAGCTTGTGATAGTCTTCAGCCCTTTGGAATGTCATCACCATAGAGGAACTTCAGCAGACCAGAGACTCAGACTGAGTCAGGAACTTGTGACATACAATCAGCTAACCCAATGAGGTGAAGATAACACTGGGGGGGATTCCTGTGGCTTCCAGGAAAGGCCCGCTGGAACATCCATGAATCTTGGTACTTTCCCAATCTCCTATAAACCAGCTGAGGAAACCCATTCCTTAGACGTTCATTCCTTAGTTCAAAGACTTGGTCCTTTTGATCTTGGGGAGGGGGCACTGGTATTGATACAGGAATCTACTTCCACCGAGCCACATCCTCAAACCTTTTAAAGTATTATTTGCAGACATGGTCTCAGTAAGACGTCTAGGTTGGTCTCAAACTTGTGATTTTCCTGTCTATCTGTTTCTTACACATGTAAGTTTTGATTCATTTTTATTTTAGCTTAGTGGTGTTGAGAGGTATAGGTCTAGATTCAGTATTTTGCATGTGGCTAGCCAGTTTTCCTAGCACCATTTGTAAAAGAGGCTATCTTTAGGAGTATATGTTTTTTGGTCTCTTTGTCAAAGAGCAGATTGCTAAATATGTCTGGGATTGTTTCTGCATCTTCTACCCTGTTCTGATGATCTACATGTCTGCTATCATGTGAGAACCATGCTGTTTTTAATCACTGTAGTTTTTTGTTTTTGTATTGGA